TGTGTGTGTGTGTGTGTGTGTGTGTGTGTGTGTGTGTGTTGCCGTGTCATCTCAGAGCACAGCGCCGACTGTCTTCTCCACCCTGTGACTTCCTGTGCCCACCTTCAACCCTCCGTCACAATCAATAATGGATCAACTTGTGTGAACGCCCACGTCTCCTTCCTTCAACATGTTCAGGTGATGCATGTTCGGCTCACAGGAGTTTTCATGTCGGGCTGCTTGACGCGCAGGAGGAGGAACAAATTATGTCTCCTTACGCAGACTCCCCGCTCTCAGTTAAGGTCGTCTAACATACACAAGGTCCATAATGAGCAGACTCAAACTGCACAGACTCTTCACCTGGAGAGGAAGGTCGGGGGCGGATGAGGACACATCACACTGCCAACATTTATTAAAGGAGACATGGGGTTGAGATATAAAAAAGTGGAAGGGTTAGAGAGGCTGAGCAGAGCCGTGCAGAGACAGAACATTTATCTGTTTCATGACATGAACTGCAGCCGGACGCAGCATCCTTCAGTGGCACACTGGCATGCTTTCACATCATAAACCGCTGGTTGCTTTCCCAAACATCACACAACCAACATTAATCACTAAACCACACACGTGCACAAAGCGGTGCACGCAGACACACACACACCAAGTGTACAACGAATGCACGAGTTGCGCAGAGAGCCAAACAGTTCTCGGCTCGATGGACAGTCCCTGAGTCAGGAGCATGTTCATCCAAGGAACTGTGCTGCACGAGGCTCAACTAAACCCAAAGAACATTATCACAAGTTATCCTGTGGCAATGTGTGCAAAACATGTTCCATGTTAAATATGAATGAAACTACTAAGATGAAAAATGTACTTCTTGAATATTTATTCTGCACCTAGTAACTCTAATTAAATTAAAGTTCTAGCATTTCTTAAAGAATGCGTCTCGCCTTTCATGCCAGAGTGAAGAGGCTCAAACATTGTAAATAACTTTATGTTCAATCTCATGCAACACCTCGAGCGATCTGGAAGTGCTTGGAGTGTGTGTTGTCAACGATTCTCAGCTACTACCATGTGAAATTTTAGCTCAACATCTGTAGAAGTGACTGATTTATAGCTGTTAATGTGTTGGCTAATGATCTGTTAGCCATCTTGAACTGAGTTCACTCCCAAACTGAATCAGGTCCGCAGTCGATGATTACCGGGACCGTCCGTGTTATTCAACTCTGTGGCCCAGGGCTCACTCCACTAATTAATGCCAACGTTTAATGTGATGTCTCTTTCCTGAAAACCCACAAACAAGAAATGAAGACCTAATTTCAATTATTCAAATACTTTTCAGCAAAGATGCACTAGATTTGCTGAATTCCTCTGCTAAACTGAAATGGTTTTTATAACGTTCAACATTTGTGTTTGACAGACGCTGAAAAGAGCGAACTGAAGGATAAAATGCTTTTTTTCAAAATAAGGTTCACGCGATATTTAAAGCAACACATTAAAGATCAGTCTGACATAAAACTAACTCAGTTGGCCGTGTGTTGTTTGATCTGAATGGCGAACCCTAGTCGAGGCTTACGTTGGAGTCGAGCAGGTCCAGGCTGTCCAGGCTCTTGCTTCGATGCATTCGACCTTTGATGCGACGCAGGGAAGGTTTACCTTGGCTCGTAGGCAACGAGAGAGTGGAGGTGGCAGGCAAAGCTGTAGCACCAGTGCCACCAGTAGCACCAGCGGTCCTGTCAGAGCAGCCGGGGGCGTCTGCGGGGGAGGTATCCCCATCTGAAGGGGTCACCCTGCAACGAGGATCAAAACTAAAATCACTCAGTGGAAAAATGTGAAGTTGACAAGGAAAACCAAAACATCTGGGCATGAAGATTCACCACAACAGTGAAGTCATAAAATCTCAGTACTCTGCACATGGCCTCTTCCAGAGATCAGCTGATCGACGGTTATCAGCGTCATGAGCCAAACATAAAGCACATGGTGACAATCCAGTAGCTCCAGAGCCACGTCTTAAAATCCAGAATGTCGCCTTTTTTTAATGTGCAGAATACGACAAAACTAAATCCATACCAGTAAAGATGAATTCTCCAAATAACAATACATCCCACATTCACTGCTCGCAGGCACGGCTGCCTGTTTGAGGAAAATCATAAGACAGCCTGAAGGATTAAAGTAACATGAGTGTTTTTCCCCTCGCTGTCTTTACATTTTAAAGGACATCTTCTCCTGTTGGCTGCAGTGGCGTCCAAGAAAGTGTGAATAATTGGGCTGAATGTCAGCGGGTATCCTGCAGAAGGGGGCGAGGTATGGAGCATCCCTTTGCCACAATAAAGCAGCTTTGCTTCTAACATGCACAGTTTCCTAAAGTAACCTGTGGACTGGGTCTGCAAAGTCAAAACTGAATTTTTATTTCTGTTATTTCAGGGCGAACACATTCAGTGGAAAGAAGGTAGAAAAACGTTAGATCTGCAGGAGAACGACATTGAGCTGATTGTGCATCAGCTAGAAGCAATACTTGTGTTGGGATGTCCACAAAACCAACAGATCATAAATGATGCCTTAAAACATGAACAAATCCAAAGAAAACCAATGTTTTTGTTACAAAGAAAAAAAAAGTTCTGAAATGTACAACTGTACTTGTTGCCCAGGTAAAGTTATAACAACCAATCAGATTCAGTTCACAAAAACCAACGCAGACGTGTTCCTGCTTTTAGTTTTATAAACTGCCTTACAATGTAACTGTTCTTGTTCGTTTTTAATTACCTTTTTTTAATTTATTCTTATCAATTTATACACTGTATTTTATGATTCTCTACTGTTGTCATCATTCTTTGTTAAATCAGGTCTCTCTTGTAAATGAGTCCCAGAGGCTCAATGAGACTAACCTGCAGAAATAAAGCTTGAATTATATATGCTTCCATTAGATAAAGTTATTAAACAGCATGGGATACATGTTCATTGTTATGCTGATGATACACAGTTATATTTGTCCATTAAACCCACTGAATCCAATCAGCTACTTAGACTACAAGCATGTCTTAAAGACATAAAAACCTGGATGACCCTTAATTTTCTCCTGTTGAACAGACAAGACTGAGGTTTTGGTTTTTGGACCTGAGCACCTTAGGAATGAATGTTTCAGTCTTTCTCCCTCCTTAGATGCATTAATCTGTCCTCCAGCTCTAATGTTAAAAATCT